GTCCTGAATTAGCTTGAAATTCATTCAAAACTAAAGCGAAAATATGACTGATAAGCTTTATTAGCTAGAAAGTCTTTAATGCGTTACTAGTAATTAGTGAAAATAAATAATGTGCCGGATCCCTGGATTAAAGTTATATGAACAAGGAAATGTAATTTGTGACAACTCTTTTATTAACTCTGCAGAAGTCCTGTGCAGTTTTAATAAATAATCAAAATGTTCTGCTAACGTGATGCATAACAAGCCTTTACACAAATACAGTCCTAATTAGAAGCCTGTGTGTACGATTAAACAACTAAAGGAGAGTCAGACCATGAAAGCTCTGCAAATTGATAGTTGAGCAATAGGCTTTCTACCAAGGCTGACAACCTCAATGTGCTGATTTCATAGGAAGGTAAATAAGCTTGGTAAAGTGTTGTCTTGTAGTTTTTCAGTGGATAAAATGCCATGCAGGAATGATGAAACCTTCAGCACCATTGCTATAATGTTTCTCATTAACTACTCTAATTCAACCAAGTTTTTAATTGGTCCAATTCCAACGGACCGTACATTACTTTATCTGTGAGAGCAACACTGGTTTTAAACTTAAATGTGACCCAACTTTATACCAGTTTAGCTATACAATCTGGTTATTCCTAGTCTACGTCTTACACTACCCTGGAGATATGGAAAATGTAGAGAAGTACCTGGAACCACTTTTGGTTATTCCAGTAACGGTACAGCAAAGGAAGGCAAAAAGAAAACAACATCATTATCTGCTGCCGGAGGAAGTTTATGAGCAGGTGTGAAATTGCAGCTGTGTGGTGCAGGGATGGAAGAAATGAAGAGGGAAAGAGGAGGAGCGGAAGAAGGATGGAGGAGGAGGAGGAGGAGGAGGAGGAGGAGGGGGGGAACACCAGGAACAGACCGGCTCCACGGAGCTGTCTTGGCTCTCTTCCTGCCAAGAAAACAATCCAGCCGGTGCCCATTAGCAGCTGGAGTTTCATTACCACAACAGTGAAGCCTGTTAATGAACCCTCGATGAGAACATGCATCCTGCTTCCCCATTTAAGTTCAGAGGTACGAGGTGACGTGCCCCCCTGAAGCACGTTGAGCACTCTCATTGCAAATTCCACAGTCAGAACCACGTACATGTCCTTTGATGCGAGCACAGATGGAGGGTCATGTGGGTAAAATAAGGTTCTGAGGGTAGTGATGGCAAGGGGAGAGTAATCATAGTTGTGAGAGACATCTCAGCAAGACTCTGGCTGTTATTATTGTTGTTCTAAAAGTTAGATCCAGATGGCATTTCATTAACATTTTCACCAATAGAGTTAAAGCTTCTTCAGGCAGTACAGAATTATGAAGATTCATTATTAAATAAAGTAAAAGGAAAAAAGCATACAGAGTGTCAGCAGCGAAAGAAGAAAATCAACCCTGAACCTGATATGTCATAGCGAGTGATGTGACTGTAACCGCCAAAAAGAAAATCATAGCCCATTCATCTATTCAGCTTCAAAGCCACTGCTTGCCTATCATCTCATAAGTTATATAAACTGTTAACAATGGGTCTTGATTATACAACGAAGCATGAGTTTTAATAAAAAGGTACAAAATATAGCAAGTTTGTTCAAATGATTTATACGCAACTGACGCATTGCATGTTCTTCCTTGTATATTCTTCAGTGGAAAACTTCTCAACCCTTTGTCTTCGTTTCCCTATTCAGTGTCATAACATAGCAACAAGAATAATCGGACATTATCTGCATCATCGTATGAATGGCCAATTCAAAAAGAAGTCCTCAGTGTCACAAAACATTCCTTCCATGCAGATAACTAGGACCCCAGATGTGGCTGCTAGGCCCTCCATCAGAATATTATTTTTTATGAAATGTTTTAAATAACATTTAAAAAAAGATCGCTTTACATTTACCCAAATACACTTGATTCCATTTCTGGGCCTTTTTCTAGCCTTATGTCGTGCCAAAGTAACCCAATTGGCAGCTTAATATGGCTACATTTAAATGTGTTTACTCTTATCTCCTAATTTAACAGTAATAATAAAAGTTCTGTGAATAGCAAGGGGATGACATGCTCTCCAGAAGTTGCCAATTGAGTAACACGCATTGTACAGGAGCTGATCAGATTACTACTAGAAGAGTTACATCAGAGAAGTGAAAGCAATACCACGGTCAGATGTTTGAAGTGGTGTAAATTCACAGAATACTTAACAGTATAAGTTTGGCCCTAATGTCAGCACTGAAACGTTAATCAGCACACAAAATAACAGGTGCCAAGTGCTTGGACCCGGGTCTCACTGGAGTTTTGGCATGTGGGGGTGTTTAAGAGTGAGGCGTAATGGTGGGAGAGGACGGGACCTGAGGTTCAGTCTTGATTGACAGAGACAGGGCACTGAGACAGCTGAACCAATTTTGACAGGCAAACTGTTGGCCGCCTGTTGCAAATGCACTCATGCACAGACACAAACAAACATGAACGTACACACAATAGAAATACACATTGCATTCACACGCATGCTGAAGAAATTCTATCCTTCCTCAAAGAGATATGTGAGGTGACTCCACTGTAGGTCAAACACACTTTCCTATCTTAGCCTGCAGCCCTTCCTGCTTGTTCAGGCAGCTCTGGAAAGCCCACAGTTCAAACAAAAAGAAAAACAGATGAATATACCTATACTCCAAATGCAAGCGTGTGGATGGCCAAAAAAATAATAATACACACATCAAAACGACACTGCATACAATATTTAAAATAACATTCCCCAGGTTTGGGTTTGTCTAAAATATCACAAAGACCTCAGTTGCACTCAAGATGCAACAACTGATGTGAAGCGTGGTCATCCAAGAGAGATGCTGGGCTCCCAACAAGAAGTCCCGTTACAGCTCTTTTCAGCTCACTTTAGTTAAATGTCAGAGTGTTCATGCAGCAAAACTTCCAATGGGTTTTTCCGTCTCAGATTCTTACGGCACTGTGCCGACATGACCTCATTACAAAAGCTGCAATGTCAGACAACCATCTCGTGATGTGTCACGACAGCACTTGACTGAAAGTTGCTTTCTTTATTGAGAAAAGAATACTAGAAACCTCCTTGCACTACACTGCATGATGGCTCTGCTAATTGTGTGAATGTGTCGACATTGGAGAGAAAAATGAAGAAACATGGGTAGCTGTGCTCAACAGCCTTTCAGCTGTGAACAGGGCCTCATCCTACAACAGCTGGGGTATCACAATTAGCCATCATTAGCCTAGAATGTACACAGCGGCCTAATTGTACATAATTAGTTAAGTAAGTTGGCTCATCTCAGTAGTACACTTCTTTTACCTGCTAATAAAGGATGTGGGAGGGAGGTAGATGGCCTAGCATCTTACATTCATTGAATAACTGGCAGCAGCAGTTTAATCCTAAAGAACAGGTTGGTTATATCTTCAGTTCTGCTAGAGCTGAGTCACATCTGAGAGCATGATCAAAGCTTCTAATTAAACTGACATTTCTTAAAATGCCTGGAGTTGTTTAAGGAGAGACTGGCTTGCCCCAACAGTGCAATGAGCATAAAAAAGCTCTATATTAAGCTGGGTATAAACTGTCCTAGAGACTGCAATGTCATTTTAAAGGAGACCAGAGAAAATGACATTATGCACAATTCAATTTATAACTTTTCTCTCGTTTATATGTAGTGTCTTTGTTTGAGACTGAAGCAGTTTGATGATACCCTGCATTTTGTGGTAGGAGAAACATTCTTGGTCAGAGGATCTGTCACATGCTTACTGTATGAGATAATAAGGACTGTTATATCGCCTGAAGACTAATGCTAGCCTTAAATGAAATTAGAGACAGCACTGAGTTAGAGTTACACAAGGTGAAAACTATTGATGTGTAAAGAGAACTGGATACAGCATTGTGAAAGGAAAGACTGTTGTCTTTGACAGCACCAGCATGTAGATATTTATGTGTATGTACATGTGCTTCAGTGGGGGTTCTCAGATCTGTAAAAGAGAATTATAAACAACAGGGAAAAGTGAGCTGAGTGATGTAGATCAGAGGGAGAGGGGCTGATGTGTGCAACGTAGGTATATTTAATAACCGCTCTCTCCATACTTTTCTATTCAAATATCCAAACAAAGTCTCTTTAATCAATTCGTTTTATATACAGCTTAAAATAAGCTTACTAAAAAGTGCCATTGCCACAGCTGTTATAAGATAACATCTATCTGGGGTCCGCTATCTGCCGGTAGCCCGCTCTGAGCCGAAGCATTCCTGTGTGCCAGCTGAATGTCAGACACACCCTCTGCCTTGGTATGTAACAGTCAACAGTGACTAGCCTGCGCCGGGTTACTACCGTCTGTGTATGTGAGCCATGCACGATTTCGGTGATGCCATCTGCTAAAGATAACGCATCCTACAACTCTACTTAAACCAACGAGAGGAATTTGAGCCCGCCCTGCTCTACTGGAATCCAAAACAGAGCACTCAGTGGCACGTTACCCAACGCCCAACACAGGAGGAGAGTACAGGCAGCAATAACACCTCACTAAAAACGTAGAAGCACACATGAGCAATTACGGAAAAATTTAAGCTTTTGTCTTCAATACATTCCCATGAAACAAATCCAGTGCTCTGGTCAGACAATGTGTCCCCGCACAGAGGAAAACTGACTCCTCTGTAATCTAAACACACACTTTAAAATAAACACGGCACTATTGTGTGTTTGTATAAGAGGCTACATGAAGGAACACTGCTTAAACGCACTGGTACTTACATGGATCACTCATGCATGAAGTGATGCTACCCTTAATTTACATTAACCTATCCCTGACCCTTATGGACATAACAATGTTATTCTTTATAAAACATAACACAGGTTAGAAGACTGATCCCAGCTTAAAGGCAAAGTTGTGAATTCTAACTGACAACATGTTTGTCTCTCATTATAAAGTCTGACTGTTCCCAATTCCAAATTCCAAACAGATATTTATATAAATGAAACAAAAGCAAAACTCACCATTGTTATCGGCCACCTTCCTCAGCGCTGAAACGATGGCATCAGAAGGAACACGAGGACTCTCCACATATTTGGGCTTCCTGATTGGACCTGGTAGCACGGATGGAAGATACAGGGAGAATCAGAGCGAGGAAAGGGAGAGAGAGGAAAAGAAATGCAAAAGAGGAGAGAACGAGAGAAACAGAGAGGGAGAGAAAGAGAGTTCTCACTGGATTAACGTGTTCCAGATGGGACTAGAGATGAGAGGCGGTGGTGTCTTAGTTGGACAGGCTTGGCTGCACTCTACAGCTCACAAACTCATCCACACACACACTCGGACACACACGCTCTCAGCAGACAGCTCCCTGCGCTGATAGCAGCTCTGGTCTGTCTGACAACCCAGAATATTCTCTGCCTGGCTGGAGACTCCCAGTAAAACACTGCTAGTCAGCTCTGGGAATGTAAACTACAGCAGGAAACCACAACAATTAGCCTCCTACTGAACTTTAAAAATGAGTGTTTAAACACAAACATTTACTTTTGGGAATCAGTTTAAAAAGACAAAAGAGTTTTCTTCTGCTTCTGGGAGCAGTCCCTTGAAAGTGTACCTGGAAATATGAATTAAGATGGTTAAAGTCCATGTGTCCTGCTATAAGCCAGATGATGTATCTGGCACAGTGGTACAGTTCTCTGAGCACTGTCTTTTGTCTTTAGTGAGGAGTTGAGGTTAGCTCGCTGCTCTGTTCCTTCTGCTCTCACCGTGACTGAATTAGAAAATCCCACAGCTCCACGGAGAAGGCTTGTTCACTGTGCCGAACTATAAGATGAACCACGGAGATACACACCCCGCTAGGGACACAGATTCTTTGGCAACATTTCTTCAATCTTTGTCTCTGCAAAACGATTAGCCCATGTTGTCTAGAACTTATTCTACAAACTGCCTTTTAGTGACCTAAATAGAGAAACTTTTCCTTAGAGTTACAGTATAATTGTTTGTAAATGCAGGAGATCCAGCAAAGACACTAGACTAAATACTAAGCCATGAAACAAACATCTCCCGAGACGCTGTTAACATTTCAAGTCGCCAGGTCAAGACTCATGAAAACAAACAAAACGTTGGCAAATTATAAAAAAAAAAAGAAAAAAAAAGAAAAGTGAAAGTATAACTTAGACCTTAGAAACAGCATTACTCCCTTAATGCCAGTCCTCTATGATACTCCAAATTTGACCTACTGTAACCAAATCCAATTCTCCTCAAGACTCCAGTTATCAGATGTCTGTATGTGTAACTCCAGTCATAACATAACTATTAGATGGGAGAGCCGAGATAACCATTTCCTATTACAACATTTGATAACAAGTCCCTCCCACCTTCAGAAAACCCCCTCTGAGTCGGATGGAACAAATTCTTAAACCACAGCTGTGATCTTGGCCACAGATAGTAAGAGTGGAGGTGAGGGGGAAAGAGGAGGGGGCTACAGCAGCAACCATGTGAGGGGGGAATTATCTGGAAGTGTCATTGCAACGAACCAAGCATGAGAGTCAAAGTCAGCTTGACGCACAGTGCCATCTATGGATATTCAACTTGAAATGCATATGGGGGACGGTGCTTTTGATCCCCGAGAAGAGCCTCTGCAACTGCAAACCGGGTGCTCTCTTGCTCGTTAGCAGAAGTCAAAAAATGAAGCCAATAAAATAACTCAAGGTTAAAGCCCAAAGCCAATTGCATTCTTCCGTCAGAGGAGCAGGAGGCGGAAGTCATAGTGTGTGGTAAAAATCGGATTTAAAAGGTGAGGATTGGTTTCGTTTTAAAGCATTATAATTGGAAGATGGGATTTCTTACACTTGAGGGGAGACTATTTGGAGTCTAAGGCTGAAGGAGGCTGATCTAGTAAGCATCTACAAAAGCTATCCATCGTATCCTGTTATTTAACAGACAAAGCCAAAAAGTCTCTCCTGAAAACCTCGATTCATCTGCGGATGGTCAGGCACAACCTATTACCCAGAAGTCACACGGCTCCAATTAGAGAGGAACTACAGAGACAGGGAGAGCTGTGTGTGAGACACACTAAGTTCAGGTGAATGTCTTGGCCATGAAGTGCACTGCCAAATATACTCTGCATTTCATCTAAAAACAACGGGGCATAGTTTGAGTAATTTAAACCATATGCCTAGATTCGGATGGGGTTTACACAGAGTGCCATGAGGAACACAGGATCCACAAATAACAAACATGTGGCTGGCTATCAAGGGTCATTTTAGACAACATCTGAGGGCTGATAATACAGGGGAGAGGCAAAAGGTCCTTCAGAAAGACTCTGATGTCTGAGCATCAGCTTGTGACAGACAAAGTACACAGGGGTTTCTTTTCCATTCAAAATCTAATGTCATGATTTAACAGGGTGCCATTACCGCTCTGCCCTTCTTGATGGAAGCACTGACGGATGAACAATTGCAGTTTATAACAGGCATGAAAAGGTCGCAGCGATGGAAGTGTCAGATGTATGACCCTTGAAGGACAATGAGAGAGACAGACATGAGGCGTGTCTTTAATCAGAGATGGATGAAAATCCAGAAAGTTGATACATTTACATACAACAGCATAGAAAACAAGATGGTTCCAATTGAGAGGGTCTGATATGGTGCAATTCTAGAGTAATTTTACACCAATGTTTAATGCTGTATTTGTGTTTCTGAGTTTACTATTCCTGTAACATATGCTTACTCAATATGTATTGTCTGAGGGATCCACCAAAAACTCTTGATCACAAGGTTAATCAAGAGTACTGTTTTACTTGCAGCAGAGATGTTTCATTGTCACATTCAGGGTACAGTAAATATATGTGTAAATGTGTATACTGTATATGCTAAATACACAAGAGGGAAAGCAAACAAACAAAAATAGGAAATGGTTGCCAGAGGAAAAACCCAGAAGAAGAGTTTCCCTAGGGTAAAGCAGCCAGGCGAGCTGTGACTGCCGAGGACTCGCCAGTATTCACTGTGAGATGCAGGAATCCATGAGCAGCAAGCTATCACTCAGCACATGAACACACACACATACCAAACAGTGGAATACCTATGACCAGCAACTCACAATGTCAAGTCAAAGCCAGTGAAAGAGAGGGTTGTTCATGGCTATAGGAAGTGATCAAGGAGTTTTCCCAGCATTCTTAAAGCTGGACTCTGACTTCTTCACATTTCAACTTTTCAATAAGACAGTGTGCACTCTTTGTGCTGCAAAGGAAATGAAAGCCATCTCACAACAACCCTTCTTTATGTTCCAAAATGTCATTCTTCGACTCAAAAGTACATGAATACATTAGACTGGTATTCGGGGGGACTGCAATTCAAAATCAGTTACCAGCGGTACGTGTTGAACGAATTATGGAGAGAATTAAATATACTTTCTTTTTAAAAGCTGTACCAATGTTTCAATTATTGCTAAAACGCTAATAATGTCGTCCTTTATAAGGCCTGGTGCTTTGTTAGATTAAAATACAAATGCTAATTGTTATGATTCATTCCCTTTTCATGGCCTGACATAATGCCATTATCCTCTTCTGGGTAATGCAATGCCTGCACTGCACCACAAAGAGAGAGTGGTAATCTTTTTTAAACACTACATGTTTAATAGTCATGACTAATCTCACACATGCTGTTTCAAAAGCTGGTATGAATTATGTATTAAGACTCCACTGTGCACATGGTCATACATTTTCAAAAGGTACAAGCAACAACATCTGAAGCAAGGTTAAGTAAGCTATCATTTGTACTCTCTCTGACCATTTACAATCAGGAATGACACACTCATTTATCATATAAGCAGCATCCTACACTGACTGAAGAAGAAGAAGAACTTTTCACTAGGTGCTCATCAGAGAAGCCTTTCAAAGGAGTCCTGCAGCATCACAAGGTATGTTACCGCTCGGCCTTCAGAACGGCATCAATATTCCCTCAGGGCTGTCTGCTAACTCTCAATACCCCGGAGTTGACTTCAGGAGAGCTCACCTCAAAGCGGCTACAAGAAGAGATGTTCTATCCTCTTGACAGAACTGCACAATAAATTGCACTCATCTGGCAAAGTAGGAAAGGATGCTTTTGGATGAACATTGAATTTGTCCCGTTAATTCGCGTGGCATGATAATAAGACTTATTTTAAATAAATAAAACTTGGAAAAAATGTAAAGTTAAGTATATATTTTCAAAAAGTTAAAAGGATAGCTGTTTATTTTGTAGAAAATGAGTTACAGTTATAAGGGATATTGTCATTTTGTTTCCAATGACACAAGTCACTGTTGGACGTGGTGGTTTCAGTTTAAGAAGACACTCTCTGATCTGCCCTTTTCAAATCTGTCTATAATAAAGCCTCAAGTGGCCCAACATTTATAAATAAGAAACAAATGAAAAATAAGACAATTCTTGAACTTGTCCTTGCTGTCATTACGAACACTCAGTAAAAACACAAGTCACTGTTAAAATTCTCAAGTGTTCCACCAAATGACTTTGTGTCGTTTTATGTGGTTTAGCTGTGAAAGAAACAAAAATATCCTCAAAAAACAGACTTTTCCCAAAATGGCTTAAGTACTTTAGGGCCACAAGCAAAAGATACATTGTCAAGACTTTACAGTGACTTAAAAAGCTAACAACCACTCATGTTTAGCATTCAGCTCGCTCTAGGTGAACAGTGTAGCTAACGCTGCCATAAAAAAACAAAGGAGGAGATAAGCATCCTGGCATCAGACCACTGTCACTGAATGTAGTGACCTGATCCTATTGCGCACACAAGTTAAAAGCTGTAGGGTGGTTTCAGCTGCAGATAGCTTTTTCAGGTAGGCATATTATCTCCCAAAACTAAGCAGCATTTTGTATCCTGATTAACTAGCACCATCAGGGTCACCAGACTGCATGAAAAAAAGCATTTCATTTGATAGGGAGATGTCACAGTGAACTGTGCTCTCCGGTGGTGAATTGCAGACCTGCCTCACTGATAGATAATTTAATCAGCCTCGGAACCACCGAATGCGAAAGCTGCCATCAAAGAAAAATCCACTTAACTAATTTTAATATACACAACAGCCGACCAGAGACAATCCCCCCCATGGCCTGATTCCGGATAAAGCAATTAAAATGATACACCGCCCATGACAGCCATAAATCAATATGAATTGCTGTTTTATGATCCTCTTGCAGGCTGGCAGGGAGGCAGAGCATGTGGCCAACAGTTTTGTCTCATGACTACAAAAAGGTCATACATCTATTATACATACTTTGGCAGAATCACCTCTGTGTTTCACCACCTCATATTTCACAGGATGCAATAGGGTTTTACATATTTTGTGGGTGTATAGTTGTGGACATGTGAGCTTTTCAGAAGTGTCATTTTTCACACACATGCAACTCAATCAAACAGTGCAACCTTGAAAGCAACAGATGCTTTTAATCTTCCAAAGGAACAGTAACGTATTACAACCAGAGGAGGTCACTGTGTAGATACCCAGGAGACTGTCAGAGGTAGCTCAGGGAGTTTCTAACCTTATAAAAAAACGAATTTACTGTGTCATCAACATTATTCTACGCACTAAAGAGTAAGGTTCAAGTTTTTCAATTCCTGATCTTTGAACTGCCCTGGGCTGGAGAAAGATGGGTTCATTCTGGCAACATTCTTGCAGTAAACATCCGTCCCGGGGCCTTCAGGGGGCCTGTAAACTATTAAGACTATAAAGCCTAGGTGCTGCTCAACACATGTCAGGGTGCAGTGTTTCATGGTTAAGCTCTGAGCTTAGCTGATCAAAGCTGTGGCACTCAACGCCACCAGGACTTTGTGGCTCAGGCATCCGTCACACTCCTAATTAACTCAATGTTTCTCTGTTGTCCCCTGTGAAGTTTGCAGGAAAAGAATAACCGCTAACTTTGAGTCTTCCTAACTGCGATAGATTATTGTGTCAGGAAATGAAGCCAGTCGAGCAAGAAAATGCTTTTCAGAATCTGTGAAACCACTTCCCCCTCAAAGACATCAGGGGCGGCTGGATGGGAAGGAGAATAAAATCGATGAGTAAATGGATGACTTGATGGACAATCTGTATGTAGGAATAAACCAGTGTAGTATGAATTAAGAAAAAACACTAACGAAGAGACGCCTTTTTGTAAACTTCAGTCAAATGTATGCATGATGTTGTAACTGTACCTAACTTTCCTGTATATAACTGCAATATAAAATACATTCTTATGTACTTCAGGGATGATAGCATGGATGCAGATTTTGTCTTTTTTGTGCAGTTAATTGTATTTTTAGAGACATTTCATATCCATAAAAAGAAATGGGCTGACTCCAAACCACATTTTGTACATTTCTATCAAGAATTTAAACAATATATTAGCACTATTAAAAACATTAGGAATAAGAAGGCAATAAAAACTAATCCAAAGTAGCAAAATGTATTTTTATTTCCTTTTTTTGTTTATTTACTGAATGTAATGTATTTTTATGTTGTATGTCTGCCCCTGGACTTTGTCTGTTGTATGTCAAATATATGATGTTCATGTATGACAATTGAATAGATGAATAAAAAAATAATATAAAAATAAAAAACTGGAATATATTGTCTCACTCATTTAAACAGAGGTGTGTCTTACACTGGCTATGCTTTGTTGTTTCTGTGGCTCAGCATGATGAGAAAATGCCACATTTTGACCCATGTTGTTTTCGTCGCAGAGCTGAGACATTTCCTGCAGTATGTGTTTATTAACTGGAGGTGTGAAGTCTCCCCCGGCGGGTTTTTACAGTTACCTGTGAGGACAGTGGAGCAAAGCCTACAAACCATCCCCCAACCCTCTCTCCCTGGTCGTCCTCCATGACATCCTATCTAGTCAGTCCATTTTTTCCATGCCTCAGAGCACCCCAAGGGGGAATATGCCATTAATGAGTGTTCCCCTTCCCGTGTCCTCGGGGGGCCTTTTCACCTTGACAAACCGAGCCTCATCTCTTCATCTCTTGCTCTTTCCTTCATGTCTGTAAATGTATATTTCATCGACACTCTCTTTGATGGGTTGAAACCCCTACGGTACGTTTAAGATTTGTTTAACTTGAGTTGGGGATAAGGGCATGAAAATCGACTTGGCTATTATAAGCTGTATTTGCCTTAGTTTTATTTATTTTTCTAAACTAGGAATTGAACCTACTGTAATTGAGCAACTACATTTTAATTACTGCTTCACATTATCAGGACTTCAAGCTTTCTTTCTTCACAGTTTGCTTTCTCCAAAAAAAACGATTTGGATAAGAACACCACCGAAAAAATCATCCCAACCTGTAGTAGTTAAAATGATGATGTTGTATTTTATATTAGAAATCTAAACTGACCTAAACCTAAATCTTAAAAATGGAGTTGAACAGAGAAAGGAGAATTGCGTAAGAGAGGTGAACTTGAACACAAGTTTGCACAAGGATTAAACTATACTACCCCCTTTCCACCACTTCATCTTTACACTAAACAGACCAAAGCTGTAACCACTCTAAACAAAGGCTAGATAGCCCACAGATGAGTGCCACATGTGAGTGGGGCCACCTTGACCACTTAAAGGATTTCTCTCCTCTTTGCCAAGTCTCAGGAATACAAAGACTCAGGTTGAGACAAGTTCAGCTACAAAAAGGTGTCCCCTGCTTTGAAGCACCCCACAGCTGCTGACAGGAACATTCTCAACATGGTGGATAGAAGGAGCCGGGGAGGACTGACAATAAGATCCAGTGTAAACACACGCCCATTACCAGCAAGAGTAGAGTAAACACTCCGTGTGGATGTAGAGACCTCTACATCTGAGCAGGGTGATCAAATACAAGGATGAAGTGACAGCAGCCCTCTGTAAGCAGTCTGTGGCTATCATTATTACTTTATCCCCTAGGTGATGCAGCAGTGTTTTAAGGTTGAGAGGGAACATCATTCCTTGAGCATTGTCAGATGTTCAACAATCCTACAAAAGCACCTGGAGGTAGACAGGAAAGGAATTTTTACAGGACGCCCATAGAGACAAATGAAGCCCCCACCGTGAGACTGATATAGTGAATAAAGATTCAGAGTAACTCAAATTGCAGCACATAGGTTTGTTTGGTACAGAACAGAAGTATTTGGTTTTTAGAGTCATTTACACAACAGCAATATAACAACAACATAAAGGTGTGTGTCTATAAAGTGTGGGGAGAGTTTCATTTGATATCTTGACAACATATCACTACTCTCACCACCGTTGTATATTGTATGATGACTATCACCGCTTTTCTTATCATTATTATCTATTTGGGGGATGTATAGACATGGCCAGAACCAGCGTCTCTACTTTTGGTAACCATGGTGATAAATCCCACAGAAGATAGTGTAATAGAAAAGACTGTTCTTTAAGCTGCTGCACATGCTATCTCTTTATTGTGAACAATATAAGAAGAAGAAAAGACGCTTGAGCCCAGAAATAAAATGGCTGGACGGACAATCATGTAAAAACAAAATATATATATTTACAAACAGTACCTGGTGATCTCTTGCTCGGGCGTAAGGGCATCATGTAGGACTGTCGTGGCAGGAGAGGGGAGGATGGAAGGGACATGGACACTCCCTTGGCGAGGCTTAATCTGAAAACATCGTCAGGGACGTTAGGGTGCCCGCCGCCCGGCCCCTGGAGTAGAGGGTTGGTCTCCAGTGGGAATCTTCTTTGGGCACTGTGGCTGTGAACATCACCTGTTGAGGAGAACCACTTTGTTACAAATAGGTTTGTATCACTCTTGTAATGATATAAGGTCAGGCAGAGTGCTTACATGTTACATTTTCCAATTCAAAACCACACACTTATGTCAGCTTATCTTTTTTAACTTTTGTGCTTTCTGGTTGTTTGTGTAGAGCAGAGTTTTGGGGGCTAAAGGAAATAAAGCCTGAACTTTTGAAACCTGATTAGACCAAATGATGCTATTATGGTACAATGTTATTAAAACTCAGAACTATTGAACAAAGTACTAATGCGTGTTACATGAATGTACCGCACACTAATCCTCAGAAGGACTTTGCAATGTTTTAAGAACTTAACAAACATATGTCTGAGGAAACAATTTCAGCCCGCTAGACGACTTATTTTCTATTCACTTACAACCCAACAATAACCCATAATAAAGTGTAGTATTCTGACCTAACAAGATGATTTATGTTAAATACAAGGACATTTAAAGTGAGAATTGTGTTTTATGATGATATAGTATGTATATAAAACATGAGAGGAAAGCTTGCCACCATGTATCTATTGCAGAAAGCAGTTAGGATGCAAGTTTTTGAGTAATAATGTAGATAAACAGACATATCATAGCATCTTCAGGTGAACTTTTGGTCGATTTATCAAAAGAGTTCCCAATAACTTTCTACATCCATATAGATTCAAGGTATTAGTTGACTTTTATGCAACCATGTTACAAAGGCAGGTGCCACACATAGGCTTGCAGAACAATCAGCTTATCAGCAGGGATAAGGATGGCTTTCAGCAAGCAGTAGAGTGGTCTCTTACTGGGATTTCCTGTTATGTTTGGTTATGTTAAAACATTGAACAGGCATCTACTAGGGATGAGCATTTTCAACCAAAAATGTCATAATCGCCAAAACTAGGGTAAGCAGCGTAAACAGTTCACTTCCTTGGCACAACTGAGGTGCCCTTGAGCTACAGGCCTACGCGTGAAATTATTACAATAACAGATTTTACAGTTCTTCTTTCTCTTCTCGTCCTCCTGGTGCAAAACAATGCACATCATGCGATCAGGGGGCATATTTAAGCCGTCAATACACTGCCCACTGTTTTGGTGTTAGAGCAGCTGACCTGATTGCAAACACTCCTGCATCTGTCACTGCCTCTCCACAAGGTTATATATTTGTTCAGCCCTACCTCCATTCCAGCATCCATCTACATCTTGCAGGATTGCTATCAAATATTCAGAAACAAGTTTATACTCCGACTATTAGTACAGTGAACAAATGTCAGAGATAAGTATATTGATAGGTTGCTAAGGCCGCACACAAGCATGACCAGTATAGGTGGGAAAAAGCAGAGAAGACCTGGATCCTTGAACACACAGGGCCACATAATGTTTATTTAAACCCAGGGTCATGGGCCAGTGAGCATTTCTCATGCCATGGGGGCACATGATAGGGACATCCAGTTAGTGGAGTAAATAAATAAGGCTGTGTCATTGACCACCGAGATAAGATAACATGTATTTCAATCAGGAGAGACGATTTGATGTAAGAGTACATATTTATTGCCAGAATACACATGAATGTAAAGGAGTTTTGGCAATTGGCCCCGTTGTGCAGGAATATCATTCGGAAAGGGAGAACCGATCCGATGAAATCCCCCGGGGTCTAGACACTGGTGGTGGTGAACGGATGGCTGGGGTCGGTCTGAAGAGGAGTGGCTTAGCTTGACCCTGGGTTCAGAGGGATGGGAGGTGAAGAAGGGTGGAGGAGGGTTGCGCCGATTCACCTGGAATGAGAGCTGTCAGAGGGGAGAGCGGATTTAAAAGGTTTAGCGGAGCGCTATGATAGGCTTGTGAGAATAGAGCGAAGTGATTGGTTAAGCTGGGGAGTGAAGCCCCCGATCACTTATTGAGAGGAGAGAGAGTAGTAACCCATGTTACTACTCTCTCTCCTCTCAATAAGTGATCGGGGGCTTCACTCCCCAGCTTAACCAATCACTTCGCTCTATTCTCACAAGCCTATCATAGCGCTCCGCNACACATCCCACATATCCCTTTATCTGACCTGCAGTCGGACGCACACACCTCCCTAAGGACCATTAAAAGTGTCAATGTGGATGCCTTTGGGTGAACCGGCCTTGATTAAGTGACCTTTGGCCCTTCACAGGTTTTTCCACGACTGAAGGCAAGCAGAGGTGTCATTGCAACCTTTCTGCTTCCTGTCTCTGGCATTCTTCTTTGTTTAGGAGCCCTTTAAAACACAGAACAGCTTTGTGTCCCCTGTGGTGTGATGGAGGCGTGGAGAAATTGGTTCTCTGTTTCTGATTAGACTGCAGCCCGACAACACTCATTCCCCGGAAGAGAGAAACAGGATGCTAATAGTAGCGAGTCTTTAGTGATTTCTACAAACCTCTGACTGCAGACAGGCTGCTTCCCAAGCAGCACGGTCCTGAAAACAGAACCAAAGCTAATTGTCATTACTGTGGTTCACCACATCTGCAGTTTTGATTTAACTGGCTCTGCTGACGTATGTTCTGTATTATTAGTTAGGTATTACATGTTATCTTGAGGTTGATAATTCATACAGTTTCATTTGTGGCGATGATGAGTGAGCAACTTTGATGCCGCAGAATAGACGACTTTGCCATTTGCTGGCTCCATGGCTAAAATGTTTTTTCCATTCAGGTTTGGTTCTCAGTAAAGCAGAACCTGTTTTTACCATCTAGGGCTTGGACTCCACTCAGCAAACTAGTAGCCAGGTTAAGTAATTTGCAAGCCTTGAGTGAAGTCATGTGTAGAGACTGTGGGGAGCTATTTCCTATCTTAATAGGTGAGACAGAAGAAGGTCGGGAATATCTAGTTCTAGACGTACGTTTTCCAGAAGAGAAAGTCAACCATTGGAACCATTGCAAGTGTAGGACACAGGGCCACCTTAAGAGAAATCTGCTGGCTTAAATTGCAAGCTATGCTATTTCTCGACAACTGGATTGTTTTGCACAGCAGTTTAAAAGTTCTCTTCTGTTTTTAATTCTTAGATGGTGTTTTTACTTGGGAAGCAACAAAAGTATGCTTTCAAATCAGAGTCAGCATGAAATGTGGATGTTTTGTTGACTCCTAAGTGCAGCATAATTGACTCAACATGTGGAGAGCTGTTGTAAATATCTATTTAGAAAATGTGATTAAGAGACAATTATTTATACATTTTGAGGTTTTTCCTTCAAGCCAAGCCTTGATAGTTTAGGCAGATGCAGCTTCTAGAAACTGTTATCTTCCAGGAGTGACATGGATCCTATTGGGTTCTTTAAACTGCAGTGTGTTTGAGTCTGGCTGAAATATTGTCCTTTCCTGTAGTGTTGATTTTAACTTGTTATGCTCACTGTAATGGACGTCTTCTGTTTAGCCAACAAACTGTGACAATCTTATCTTATCTAATCATCTTTAAAATAAGCATCATGTAAACAACCATGACCCCAGCTGCTGGGGAGTGTTACAAACTAATGACACTTGCCTGTGAATGAGTGAATTCATCAAATGAGTTTGATGATACATTTGCTTCCCTAGCACCGATGCATACTTAGCTAGGAACAGCCACCCAGTGTGCTACCTGTTCTTAGAGAAATAAAGCTCAGCGTAAGTTCAACCAGGAAGACCTTCTTACTCATTCATTCACTAAATTCCATGTTACTACTCTCTCTCCTCTCAATAAGTGATCGGGGGCTTCACTCCCCAGCTTAACCAATCACTTCGCTCTATTCTCACAAGCCTATCATAGCGCTCCGCTAAACCTTTTAAATCCGCTCTCCCCTCTGACAGCTCTCATTCCAGGTGAATCGGCGCAAATGGTAGTGCAAACAAACCTTCTTCGTGTACGATAAATCTAACCTCAAAGATGTCCAATTCCGACTATTCCGAGGACGAACTCTTCCAGGAGGATGTCGATCCCGACCCCGACGTTCCGCCTGAGGCAGCTTCCTATTCCCCAAGCTACTGGCGCTCGAGCACCCGCGTGGGTTCCCGCAGCAGCTCACATACAGCAGAGGCAGATCTCCTCACTCTACAACTGGAGCAGCAGGGCATTTCCCCAACCCCAGGTCTTACTCTCTCCCAGCTTCGCGAACTCTCAGATCAAGCAGCAGGCGTTGTTCCCCAGCTCACGCCAGCAGCTCCAGCCAGCCCCCCCGACAGACCGGGTCGCGGGTGCGGCCGCGGGGGTAAGAGGACAAGGAAGTCGCCCCATCCAGGAGCTCATCTGTCCAAAAAGACAACTTCCTCCCAGGCTCGCCCCATCGCTGACCAGCCCGGAAGCACCTTAAACCAGCCCGGGCCAACCGATAACAACTTGGCCAACACCCTGCAATCCCTGGGCAAATCCATGCAACAAATCGACGCTCGCCTTCTTGAGGTCTTTGGAAAATGCATTCAGGCCAGAGCCTCCACTTCATCAACTCATGCGACTTTCCTGCCATGGTCGCCGCCGGGTGCTAATGTCCGGTTCGGCCCCTACCTTCCGCTCACGAGTGTAGCCCTGCTCATCCCTGGCTTTCTGGCCCTCCCAGCCCCCTTCCGGTAGGCCTTAGATTCCCAAAGGCGGCTAATTTTCCCCCTGGCTTCGATAAAAATACTCTGATGGTGGAGGACCATACCTGAGGTCAGCCTCATCCTGCCGTTCCTCCGGACTCGTGACAAATCCATCGCCCACAGGGGGAAGCATCACGGCCTATTTCAAGGCAGCAGACACCCGCTCACCAGAGACTCTCCATAGGGCATCCTGGTCGCTTTCTGGATCCGCGTGACTCATTGCTCCGATGCTACCCGGAAAGGAGGGCCAAGAGCTAGATGTCCTGTCTCGTCGTGATTGGAGACTTTTTTCCTGAAATGCCGGCGAAAAAAGGTATTTACTCTTTACCA